CACTTGTTTAACTGAAGTGTGCAACAGATTTTTTTCAGTAGCAACAGATTTTTTTCTTCTGTATTGTGACGTACATCCAAGTGATACGGATTATTGAAAAATAAAAAAATCTAGGGCAGGGAACATGGTTTTATCCACTGGTTGTTGACTGGATGGAAGCAGATCTGAATGCAAGCTTGAGGGCGATTGTAAGAAACGGGCAGGATTTAAGCGGACTAAATGATTGGAGAAATCTGTTTCACCGCAAGATTGAGTTATGACATTTTGATTAAAAAATTGCAAGGTCAAAATAAAGTAAAAAATATAGAAAGGGGTTATGAGGTCCAAAAAAATGTCAAGTAGTGGACATGGCGAATACTGAAACATGGGTTGAGTTAGAAGTTTAGCGTCACCACACATTATGTGTTTTTTGTTGGAATAATCATTGGAATGAAGGTATGAAGGTCATAATAGTGCCGGTTAGCAACCATGCTAAAGCTAGCGGCAACACCATAACTTTTCCTAATTTTTTTTTTAGCAACGTTAGCATTCCATTTATGACAATAACACCATTTTAATTTTCATACGAGATGGACAGTGTTTAGTATAATTTAAGACACAACTTAAATCTAAAGTTCACTTCAGCGTCTAAAATGCTCACAACCTTCAATTACCCACTTCATTCACTTCAGGCACTGCAGCCCTGAGAAACACTTCCTGTCCTTAAGATTGTGTATCAGCGGAAGGGATCCAAACAGTGAAACCTTACGACACTCTGGATTTCACCAAGTGGAGTTTGCAGACCTTCAGTCTTGAATAGTCTGCTACTTCTCAGCTGGGTGGTGGGGGGATTTTTTTCTCTGGTTTGCACCCAGAGAGAAAGTGAAAGCGAGAGAATGAGCAAGAACTTTTTAATATTACAGCTCTCTGGCTGTTATATTGCTCTTTTCTTATATCACTCTTCTGTCGTCACTTCTGATAGTCCAAAAGGCCCTCAATTGTAGAGTAAAGGTATCACCAAAGCCATTCAAAGTCATTTCACATGTTCTGATTAAAATAGCCATGAAGCAAACAGACAGAGCACAGTGAAAGAGTTTTTCCAGGTCACTAGTGGATAGTTTGAGTTAATGCAATGCGCTAATTTCCTGACATTTTTGCACACAAGATCATAAATGCAATGACTAAATCAATATCCAGTAACCTAAAATGCATGTTTCTCTAGAGGATTCCTAAAGTAATGTACTCATCCTTAAAAATTGCTAATGGAATCTCTATCATAATTTAGAACCAATTTAATAGGATCAAACAGGAATCAGCTAAAAACGAAATATTATCCAAATGGATGAAATTAAGTTCTATGAAATTAACCAAATAAATTGGGTAAACTTAGGTTTAAGTTTAAGTTGAGTATTTGAGGATCCTTTAGGATTGGTTCCAAGTTATGAAAGGAATCCCACTTGTTTGACTAGTATACTTTAGTCATGGCATTTAACCAAGAATAGCATTTTAATGCATACATGGCAAGGTTGTTTTATCCAGCTATAATGTCAAATGTCTTGCATTGGAGCAGAAATTAACAGCAGAAAATGTAGCAACACAAGCAAGAATAACTAAAATGTTCACTCAGGGTTTTAAAGGTTATGAGACCGTGATGAGATATGAAACAGCTGTTTTTGTTCAAGTTTTCTGATAAGCTTCATTCAGCAGAAAGCCACTGCTTTCAGTGGAAGCATATAGGCTACATCAGCAAAGATCAAAATCAGTTGGGAAGAGTGGGGTAAGATGTGTCAGTGGGTAAGTTGTGTTGCCCCCTTAAGCAAACTATAACTAAAAAGTAGATAAATCATGTTTTTTTTTTTTTATATATATAATAATAAGGCGTTTCCCCTGAAACTTTTAGCTGTGCAGGCCAGTGCCGCTAATAGTGAACTTTGCCTCCAAATACAGGAAGTTCAAATACAAAATCTTTAAAATTGTCACTACATTTAAATATTCTGAATATTAATGGTTATCCTTAATGAATAGGCTATACAAAATATGTTTATATTTTATTCTAGGCTACATCATTTAGCCTATATTCCCCAGGGTTTCACCTTGACATGCTTAGGGCAAAATGTACCACTTGACCTGTTTTTAAAATAATTAAGAATTTTATTGTCCTTAATATTTTTAATTTCATAGCAGCATTCTACAGTTTGCCTCGAGGCTATCCTTAAATAAAAAGTGACACAGCTTAACCAACTCTTCTCTAACTTCAAACTCCGAGGCTGTGCGTCAAAACCAGAGTGTGCTGCCTACCTAGACTGCCTTTTTGGGCATATAAGTATTTATGGGTGAGCCCGGCGTCTACGATGCCCAAAAATACTAGATAGGCTGCACACTCGGTTTTGAGGCATATAGCCGTAGGAAACATAAACTCCGAAATCTTACTGCTAATTTTCGGGCTTCCTTTGCGCTCGCCGGTAGAAGGAAGATCCACGAACTGAACCCGGTGTCCGGACATCTTCTGCACCTCTCCAGACTGCTCGTCCCTGGCCAAATATCCGCAAAACTTTCGCTTATTTCCCGCTTCCGTCTGTCTGAGTCAGTATATGCGCTATGGATGTGACCAAAGGACACAAACTCCTTCATTAGAGAGGAGAGACTCCGAGGGAGGGTGAGAGAGAACGCGAGGGGGTTTTCAGCCCAAAAAGTAAATAAATAAATAAATAAATAAGGAACTTAAAGTCCACATGACTGCAGAATTACGTCATTCCAATTTAAAGCAGATTGTTTAGTTAGAGATGTTTTGCCGTGAAATCTTATTTGTATGCATATTTTCCTACTTAGCCTATTTAAAACGATGTGTCTTCATCAACATACTCAATATGATAATCTTATATTATATAAGAAATAGCCATGGAAGTTTAATTGACAAAATGTCATAGTGCTTGACCTTGTCCAGTATGGATGCAGAATGCACAAACTGACCATTTGTTTAGTTCTTTAAGCTTTATTAGAGCCCTAATTGACATACAAATGAGTCAGTGGTTTGATTAGTTGGGCTGATTGACAACTTCAAACTATCATGAAAACATGCTCCATCCCACACATACACAGTGTCATGTGTCAAGGCCTCGAGGTTTATTCGTGTGTCCTGTCGCATGATCCAAAAGATGCACTATGGTCTGCATAAAAAGCTGCATGATTTCTGAGGCATTGTATTTTATCATACAGCGCTTGGCGTTCGGACTTATACTGTCATCTAGTGGCTGACACGGGAACTACCACAACATCTCTTGACAGAAAGAGCTCATTTCGAATGCCAAATTGTCAATCTGAAAGGACGGGGAGGATGTGATTCTTTCATGTAAAGGGTAAAAGTTGTACTCGCACCTTATAAGTGCAGTCCTTTTATTTATTTGTTTGTTTGTTATATTTAAATCGGCTCAACAGTCTTGTGTAGTAGGCTAACCAGGGTTATAATAGTGAACTAAAACTAAAACCATTTAAAAAAAATCTCTAAAAATAAAACAAACGCAAACTGAAATAAAATATAAAAATAATAGTTTGCCCCTTTGGATCAATATATAAAGCTACCTACGTATCATCAAATCATTAATTAAAAAGGGGGTCTAATTGTATATTGTTAGAAAAGAGGTGTATTATTTCCAGATAGCCCATAGCCTTCCACATAGTACAGAGGTCATCTCCTTCTTCTTAATAAACCTCCTGAAACGATGTAGAGAGAGAGAAATAAAAGGGGGGTGGGTGGAATATTGCACTTTGCAGGACTATTTGGATTTACTGGCTATTATGATGTCTAGCCACATCATTATGATGTGAATTTGGTTATTTTATAATAGTGCATAATAGTTACAATCTGTTTGTAATACTAGATTGTGCTGTTCCATACAGGGCTACAGCAGTAAAGAGTGATCCGTCTATTCAAGGAAAGAACATCAAAGACCCCCATCTAACCAGAGGAGCCACTTTAAATAGAGATAACCACCCTGAGGTCAGTCTTCAGAGTAGCCTAACAAGATCACAAGACTGACAGATATATATGACTCACCCATATATATTCTCATTCCACATTTGTATCATTTTATTTCACAATCTGGGTGCTGTGTCTTTAAAGGTCAACATTTATGTAAAGCCATGTTCTGGGAACCAAGAACATTTCCTTTAGACTTTTACAGATGTTATAAGCTTGTGTGTTCAACCTTTTCCTTGTTGCTAAAAATGCATCTTTTTCAGTATGTATTTGGACAGTGGTTTTCAATCTTTTAGATATGTGATCATTCTGATGCAAGGGACCCCATCGTAAAATTTAAAAGGCAGCTATAAATGATTTATGTTTATGTTTTATGTTTAAAGGCACAATTTAAAGGCCCCAGATTATAAATGTGTAAAAAAAAATTGGAAAGAATTATACTCACTTAGTACTGCACTGTGTATTATTTTAACTTTTATAATTCATTTTATTTTATTATTTTTTGTTTATTAATATACTTATTTATAAATATATAATCTAATATTTGTTAAAAAAAATGATCTAAGTTGTATTTTAATCTATTTTTATTTACTTAAATATTTGTATTATTTATTTTTATCCATTTTATTTTGAACTCATTTATTTATTTTCACATTTCTTTACACTGTTTTTATCTAAACATTTTCCTGTACCCCCTAACACATCACTGTGGCCCCCTGGGGGATCCTTGGACCCCTGTTTAAAAACCCATGTATTGGGATACGACTGGGTGTTTTAATCATTTTTAAGTTGTTTAAGGTTAATAGTTCACAACAACAACAAAAAAAATCTGTTATCATTAATTCACCATCATGTTATTCCAAACCTGATGCGTGACATTTTTCTGTGCAACACAAGATATTTAGAAAAATGACAGAAAGGTCATTTTTTGTCTTCCATAGAAGAATTAATGTCATGTTTGAATGACATGAGGGTGAGTAAATTATGACAGAATTTGGAGAATTTTTTTTTTTGAAGGGGTGATATAAATAAACAAGTTTTGAAATTGTTTCAAAAGAATTTATTCAAAAATACATATTTGTAAAATAGATTTCAGGCACTTGAACATAAGAGAATCATCAGTTTAGTGTATAACACAGCAGTGCAGGTAATGGACTACAGGGGAATAAATATACACACACATAAACATTGACAAGAACTGCTGGAAATGTTTGTATAAGTGCGACATATTCCATTCAGGTGGATGAAAAGTTCTGCATAACAGATTACAAAACAATAAACAGAAAAAATATACAAGACTTAAAATTCTGTAGACAAACATGCAATCAAAGCTAAGAAACATTCACTCAGACCCAAAAAGTCCTTATTTTACATTTCGCACCACAAATCATCTTGTGCACTGCACTTCAACACATTTATGAAAAAAAATGAAGACACACAAAGATAGAAATGTAATAAATTAAGGCAATATTTAATCACGTGAGGAATCAAAGTGCAATCCATTTGGAAACATCAGAATGAGTTACAGTATCCCCAGTACATTCTCTGATTGAGTTTCAGTGCAGACCGTTCTGCTCAATGTACATTTTGGAAAGGGACGCCGCCATGGACTTGGCCAACTCCTCGTCCCTCTTGCGCTGCACCTGTGTGTGACGGCACCAGTCGTCATACTCCGGGTTGGGCCGACAACTGTCCAGCAGCACATCATAATGACCGTTACTAAGCCAGCTCAACCATATGGCCGGTTTAGACAAGTCATCTTCGCCCAGGTAGTGCACCATGGTTGATACCGTCGGGCTTTCCACACTACCCCCAGTGGTCAAGTAGATATTCACATTTAGCATCTGACTCATGGCCAACAGCTCTGGATAGCCGGCCCATGCACCGTCCTGGGCCGCATTGATCAGAAACTCCCCGACGTCTCCTTCGATGATGGGGTTGAACTCCTCCAGGTGGTCGGCGATGTGGTGCATGGTTTGCTCTCTCAGCTCCTTGTGCCTTGACTGGTCCCCATAAGCCGCCTTGGAAATGGCCCGGTACAGGCAGTTCCCATCTGGGATGATGTGAAAGCGGTATTTCTGCCTGTCGTGGAGGTATTTGTTTTGTTTCTCCACTTCGGCCAAGTAACGGGTAACCTTGTTGTCAACGTCACTTTTGTTGGGTGTCACTGTGGGCTCCTGGAGGATGCGCAGCTCAAAGACCGGATTGTCATCTTCGATGCTTTCCTGCCTTTGGGGGTCTTTAAGAGCTTCTGATGAATCAGATGAGGGTCTTTGTGCGGTTTCGAAAGTTCTGGAGGGTGTGGCATCACTTAATAAACATGGCTCGCGTCTTCTCTCACAAACTCTGTAACTGTCTTGATCAAAAAACCTATCGTAGAGAATTGATTTTTTCTCACTTATCTCATCGTTGCCATCCTCAAAAACGCCTCTTCTGGGATCTAAGTCCAAGACGGAATCAGAGTGGTGATGATGATTATCTCCGTTAACTGCGTAGGAAACCCGTTTGTAGTGCGTTTCCAGAGGTCTATGGTTTGTGCGCGGCTCCTTCGAGATGTGAATAGGCACAGATCTCTCCACACCATCCGGTCGCGTGATGATAATCTCCGCGGTGGAAGTGTAGAAAACCGGCCTCATCGAGGTGGCCTCATAACATGAAAAAGCAGGCATGTTCGCTTCAGTCTGTTCCCCTCCAGACAAATAGCCCGAGTGAGCTATTGTGGCGCTTCCGTTAACGGCGTTTCTGACCACCTCCAAAGAACCCGAACTTGTCGTTGTTGCGTTATTGCCGACACTGGTGAGAGTTACGGAAACTTTCCGAGAGGAGCCGGGGTAGTGTGTTAACGCGCTGCTGTACAAGTGCATTTTCAACGTCCTCCCTTTATACAATACGCCTTGGCCTCGTTGTTACCGAATGATGACAACACGGTCCAAAAATAATCTCTGTCATCAATAGCAGCGAATGTGTAGGGAGCGTTTCCATGGATCCTCGTTCCCCGCTGCTACAAAGTTGTCTTGCGTCAGCCCCAAAGCAACCCTAATTTTAGCGCGAGCACTGGTAACAGGACCCCGGGTCTCTGACACACCGCCCGGGCCGAGGAGACGACCTGCACCCCGCGGGAATGCGAAAGATGTGATGTGTCACTGGGACTCTCGGCGTTGCTCTCGCTTCTGTCCGTGTTTACGCTAGCGCGCGCGTCAGGGCGGCGTCGTCAGATTGGAATGCGTGCAGTTTGCCAAGAGGCCGCGCGTTCCCAAACAGCTCAGAGGACCAGCGTCTCAACAGCGAGGAAGTCCCGCCTCACACTAAACTTCATTGGTCCTACTTAATCAAGAAGAGTTGGCTATAAATCACCTTAAGTATATTAAAGACTTTTCTAGGAAATGTAGTCAGGTCGATACGGCATCAACCCAAGCTTCAATCCAATAAGTTTTTTTTCCCCCATAAAAGTAATGCCGATAATTTGCTCGTTTAGCTTTCATCTTTCGTTTTCCCTTATATGGTTTTAAACTCCCATTTGACACTCAGTTTCAGAATTGTGAACATTTTGTTCACACAACACAGAGTTCCTGATTCTGACTCATGACCTCATATTCTCCAAAGAGAAACTCAAAACCCTTTTACTGCACCTGTTCTGTCCTCTCTCCTTTAGTTCTATCTATCTATCTATCTATCTATCTATAGATAAGTGAAGTCACTGAACGGATCATGGTTAAATTGACGGTAAGTTAAAACGACACAAGTTTTAAATAGCTTCCATAAGTTTCATGCATAGTTCCAGTGTTCTCATGCCCCTTTATTGCTTGTGTTACTGAAAGGGAGAATATCTCATGTCCTCCGACACCTCCTCCTAAAAGAGATCACTATACACTGCCTAATAGCCTATATGTAGGCCTACAGGTCAGCATAATATCAGATGTTAAGACAGAGCATTGTCATTTTAAATACATTTAATATTGGTATTACACGGGTACATTTATATCGAATAGGCTATATATCAAAATATATCGGTTTGATGTTTTATATAAAAGATAAGTCATTAGTATGTTTACCAATAGGTGGCAATCAAATGCTTCACGCTTTTTGGAGTAACACGTCTGCAGTTCAGCAATGTAACACCAGGGGGAACTATTGGTCTCTGTTTATCGGATAATGGCAACACGCCTTCTTTTGACTGCGATGACTGTTACACAATCCAGAGCTGTGTCAGGTTTATGAGAAATCGTGAATCATCATCACGTCCATTGTAGTAGAGCCAATCTGCATAAAGACATTACCTCACCGAGTTTTAAACTACTTGTTTCCTTTAACAAAGACAATGATGTTTTGTTGTAGGCCTAACATCCGATTGTTGTGGACATGGGCTATTGTTTACGTCAAGTCCAGAATAACCTGTGCTCTTATCAACGGCAGTAAATTGAGAATTAAGGCCAGCCAGACGTATGACGCAGGCACGCCTCGCATGGAAAAGTCAACGACCTGACCTATATCTACAGACTCCAAATACAGCGTTCTAAGCCTTACCGCCATGTGCCTCAGTGTTTTGACTGGCAGATACGCTTGGTTTTAAAGGTCTGCGTCTGAATCATCTATGTATATAATAATAACGTGCCTAACCTGTGCGTGGGCACTATTTGACGCTAAAATTCTGAACTGTTTAGGTTGATGCGCCTATTTGGAACCATTACAGATGAACATAGGGTTCGATATGAAAGAGAGATAATCAGCGTTAAGAATTCTGAGACTGTTGTGATTTGAATTAGGGACGCGTCACCAGGACAGCTGAAGAAACAAGCGATTCTTGCTTTACAACCATCTAATCCCAACGGTCAACTGAGTATCACGCAGCGCTGCGCCAACAGGAAGCATCACGCACTGCTTACAAATGGAGCTGTGATGGGAACCGAGCAATCCTTACTTAGAATTAGAACCCCGTTTTTAAAATGGTTCATGACCATTTCGTTAAAAGTTTTCGAACGCGCATTCGGAAAACCTTCCTTAAATCGTGTGATAGTGTTTGTTTTGTTCACCACTGATTAGCAGCCGCTACCAAATCTAAAGCGCGGAACATAAAGCAACCAGTGTATCCGATTCCTGAACAAATGACTCATTTGAGTCGGTTCTTTTAATGAATTGAAAACACTTACAGCGCTAACAGAGAAGTCCGATTCCTGAGACGATGACTCTTACAAGCCGGTTCTTTTCAGTGAATCATTCACATTAATGCGACCAGTGTAGTTCAGTTCCCGGGCGAATGATTCTTATGGCTGTTTCTTTACAGTGAATCAAAACACTTTAATTATTCTGACTCGCTTACTAAACAGCGATTGTTGCAAAACTTTCATTAACTGTTACTGTATTATGTTTTACTCTTAACTCGTGAGATTAAATTAAAAGCGCACGTTAATTGTAATCAGTGATTTCTTATAAAAAATACAGTTTTGTTTAGTTCGTATTTTTAATATAGCCTACAGGTACGGCCAACGGCTGGGTTGCATGTATGCACGCCGCGTCTGAGAAGTCTATTAAAAACTGTAAACATATTGTGCAAGAATTGTTAAACTGGTCTCTAATGTGTTCTGTTCTGATAAAATCAGCAATCTTAAATGATGACACGATTTCTGAGGGCATTATATACAGCTAATAAGAACCGCGTTTTAAAACGTTTTAAAAGAATCATTAATGGAACCGGATATTCCTTAGGATTCTCTCACAGCATCATGGACATCTGTCACCTGAAATAAATGCCGCATTGCACCTGATAACACATCAACACTATCCTGCAGCAACACATTTTTGTCATTTTTTTAAATCTCAGTGAAAAATACAACGCACGTCCAAAAATATTGTATTGGAGTAGGGCACCTAACAAAAGTATGCAGATGAAAGCAAAGCAGCCCCAAATATATCCCTGCCATGTGTCTGCCTCTTGGTAATGTTAACCTACATTCATAATAAACCAGCTTCCTGTCTCTCTGCCGCAGTCATTAAAGGGAAACGTGCAGGAACTAGATCCAATTCAATGTCCAAAACACGTCTCCACAAACCCATCCCTCGTGCTAGGATCTATCTCTACACGTTTAAGATTCGAATGGGTTTGTCAAAAAGCTCCTTTTCTGTCTCTTTTACTCCTTTTTGTGTGTCTGATGTCAGATTTTTCCCTCTTGCCCTCGGAGGGGGAGGATCTAACCGCGTTGAGTCACGCAGCTGTCAAAGATAGCTGTCACCCAGTTTCCACATCAAACACACTGAATGAGACGCGCAGCCTGTCCCAGGTACCCGACAATGTGTTGCGTCTCCGACAAATGAAAAACGCGCTCCGCGGCGATTCCTCGACAAAAAGAAATATTTCTCTCGATACTTCGTAACAATCTGGAATATTACAGTTGTGTGTGATTAAACCGAGGAAGAATCGACCTCCTTGTTGCCAACGTGAAAAGGGGAATTTTGACGGACATGAAGACCAAAAAGGGTATGTTTCTTCTCGATATGGGTGATATAGCGGCGATATATGTTATATTTTTTCATCGGTGATTGTAACAAATGGATCTAACTTGTCGGTGATGGTTGAACAGAAAATGTCTGGCATTGTCTGCTATTGTTTTCCGCTGCAGACAAAACAGCCTTTTTCTCACCATGTGCTGGCGGGCTGTCACAACGAGCCGTTTCGCGTTATTAACACGCATTCACAATATAAGCTTTGATTTGTACAAACATGGTTATATAGCCTAACAGTTGCATGTATTTTAGATCTTTTATAGTGTTGTTCCACGAACCAATCTATAGCTATAACTTTAAATAGTCTCAAAGGTAACTCTTTTAAGGGTTTTGTCGTGCATGTTTAAGTGTGTAAATGCCTTCGTGTAATAGTTGAACTCGTTGGCTTGGGAAAAAAAATGTTCACGCGCTCAGAGTTTCTCATAACACTGACTCAAGTTTTGTTGGGAAAATGAGGGAAACTTTCCAAGTGTTTTTTTTTTCTCTCTTTTTTTCCTGACGACTACTTTGTTGCTTTCTCAGCATCTGAACATTTTGTCGCGGTGTAAAATGTGCAACAATAAATGCTGACCTCCTTTTGTGAAGTTTGTGTATTTCGCGCCGCTTCCTCGAGGCGACGCTTTCACATTCCCTCCGACCTCGTGTCTCTCACAGCACACAATAGAGCCCGAGCTATTTTCTGTTATTAAGTTCATATTTCTCATATATTATGACGTATGACCGCGTAGAGAGTCGTGTCAGCCTTTTATCTGTCATCTGGCGTGATTTCACACGTTTTAATCTTGTAAAAAGTCGAAAAAACAGAGTTTGAAATGTCCCACAAACGACATTCTTTTGTTCGGTCTTGAGATTTGCAACAGGTTCCCCTCCCCCTCCTCCTCCTCATGTAGGCCGACGACAAAGTTACTTCTTATTACTCCTCTTCACAAATTTAATCGTTTTCTCACACAGCATCAAAGATAAACGTCTACGTGGTTTCACTCGTTTCGTTTTTAGACCGTTAAGTCCCACGCTCACACTCGAGCTGAAGTTGGAAAGTTTTCTTTCACTTACAGGGTTGCTCATGAACTAAAAGTCCCCTTCAGCACTCTGAGTGAAACGTCTTATTGACAAACTAACCGGTTTATGATACTTAGGATCAAGTGGTAATAATATTCAAGTCATCATTATAAACAGGAAAAGTTGTCATATCAGCGCTTAAATAGATCAGACCAAAATCATAACTCTGTCATCTTTTACTCACCCTAATGTTATTCCAAACCCGCATTACTTTCTTTCCAGAAAAGGATTTGTTAGGCAGAATGAGTCATGATTCACTTTATTTTCTTTTTCATACAATGAAAGTACATTAGTGATTGATACTGTCATTCTGCCTTTGTGTTCCATAGAAGAAAATCCTACATGTTTGAGGGTAAGAAAATATTGACAGAATTTTATTTTTAGGTGAACTGGCCCTTTAACTGAGTTTTAAAACAAAACAGTATGTTTATCCAAAGTTTTTCAGAGTGTGTTTACAGTGCTCGGAAATGCACAATGACACCTAGAGTCTGTGATGCCTCCACTTTATCCATGAATCACATGGCTTTGCTTGACAGCAGGGATGTGACACATCAGCTGCCACACACACTCTCTCTCTCTTACAGACGCACGCTTATACATGCATACAGACGGCCAGGCGCTGTTGTGTAGTGTTCTGCAGTTGGCATTTTGGAGGGAGAGACTGTGTGTGTAAGATAGGGGGAGGAGGAGAGTCCTTTGCAGGGGTTGGGGGGTTGATGTTTGACTGGGTGTCTTTTGTCTTCCTTCACACACATGGGTACACACTGATTCCAGTTCCCTGAATCACACTTATTGACTGTTAAAAACAAATTGCTCATACATCAACCTGACTTCACACTTTTCCTGGTTCTTGAAGCCTTTTTTTTGTATAGAAAGAAAGAATAATGTTGTAAACTTAATCGTTTTTTAAGTGGCAGTGTTTCTTGTCTCGTATGCCTACAGGTGTGTTGGCGATGTCCGGTAGCGAGACGGACGACGAGGACAGTTTGGATGTGCCTCTTGACCTCTCTTCAAATGGAGGAGGGTCAGGGAAGAGAAAGAGGAGAGGAAACTTGCCCAAAGAGTCAGTACAGATACTCCGGGACTGGCTCTACCAACACCGCTATAATGCTTATCCATCAGAGCAGGAAAAAGCCCTGCTGTCCAAGCAGACCCATCTCTCCACACTACAGGTACTGAACATCTATAGAAGTGTGTATATGTGGCCTAGCACAGAACTAAACAAACAAAGTTCCCAAACAAACAAGGGAACAACTGCATGTAATACAGCTTTAAGAATAATCAAAGTTCCCATGGTCATGAAAAACTGAAATATCAGGGAATGTTAAAACTGTGACTTCCGAGCAGTATTATTTGTATATTAATGTAGCATTTAATAATATTTCCAATTAGCTTTAATTTTACATTTTTAACTCAAAACTTCAGTTTGTTTTTCATCTGATATTTATATTTTATTTTATTAAAGCTTTTTTTTTTCAATTACAAAAAAACAACTTTAATAGTTCTAGTTAACAACACTGTTTTCAGGCCTGGAAAGTCACAAAAAATGATCTCGTATACTTTTTCTAGTTTTAGTTTGTTGTGAACTATTTGATTGTTTAGAAATTGCTCGTAGTGATTGCAACATCTAAAATACTGTATATAAAATAGATTAAACAATATAATATATCAAAAATTGACTGGAAAGTCATGTAAATTCATTGGCCAAAAGGTTTGGGAACTCTGAATAAAATAAATTTGAATGACTCAAAGCAGTTTCTGAAGTTATGCTTCAGACAAGGTCTGAAGTTTCTCACGACTGCTTGTTTCTGTCAAGAATGCGAAGGGGAATTTTTCAGTTTTCTGCTTTGTTGATCAGTAATATATTTATATGCTTCACTGGAGAGCAGTTAACTGTCATCAATGTCTAGTTCAACTGACATTGTGTGAAGGAAACTGAAAGGTTCAATGTCATAAATAGAAGAGAGCCAAAAGAAATACGTCAGAGAAAGAAAAAGTCAGCTCTTTTCGCTAGCGCTACTGCGTTTAAGATCACACGTTCGGTCCCCGCTGAGTTTTAGCGTCATATAAACAACACTTCCTGTGAATGCAGTCAATGGAGAGAATTCCTGTGGACAGATGAGTGAATAACTGTTTTGAGTCATCTGAGATGTAGCCACATAGAGAGAAAGAGAGGGAGAGAGAGACTTGCTCAGACACTGGGCCAGGAATTTCCCCTGCGCTCAGCCAGCTGTCTCACTAACAATAGGGAGACACAATACACACACATTAACATAGTGAAGACTACCAGGCTCAGGCGGACCGTTGGATACACAATACAGCCCCATTACCCAGAGAGCCAAAGAGGCTTCTCTTCTGAAGAGACTCACTAGAAGACAATACAGGAGCATTACCATACTGAGGACTGCATCTTGAAAACGACCCCTTTAGATACCGAGAAAGAAAAGTTATTTCATTATGGCATAATGTGTGTATTGGGAAAGTAGGCCAGAATAGAATTGTAAAAGTCAAAACAGCTCTTAAACAGCTCTCTCTCTATATATATAATTATTAAATTATATATTTTTATTTTTTAATTATAATAATTAAAATGTGTATATATATATAATTATTTATAATTAATTAAATTATATATTTTTTAATTATAATAATTAAAATGTATATATATATATATATATATATATATATAATTATTTATAATTAATTAAATTATATATTTTTTAATTATAATAATTAAAAATCTGTGTGTAATATATATATATATATATATACACATAATTAACATTGACTCTATGTTCCCTGCTTAATAGGATTCATTTTAGATCTGCAATGTAAATGATCAGTGTTACCTGTGGTGCATTATCTACATTGACTCAAAAGGCCAGTGGAGTTCAATTGTTGATATAAACTAAAGGTGTTAACAGTCAGCCATTACTAACAAAGTAATTGGTCTTTTTGTAGAGATGCACACCGAAGTCACTTGTGTTTTCTATACCCTGAAAAAATGTTGGATTTGCATTAGAGTAGATCTCACACCCCCTCAGGTGAGACTCGCCAGAGCCGTGAAAGATACAGCGCTATTAGCATGATTAAGGCCTAAAGCCCTTAGGCCCAACAAAGAGCCCAATCTGAGGGATAAAGGTGAACTGTTACTTAGGTGATTGAAAGAAATCCTCACTGGCAAAAGCTTCCTGCTTTCAACTGCCAACTCAGCTTTTTAAAAGAGGAAAAACAAAAATAGAGGCAGAGATCCGTCACATGTTAACTCAATACAGCCTCATGAATTTCCATTTTAAACTTGAGCAAGACAGCGTGCAAACAAAATGAACAAAACAAAAGGTTTTATAGGACTATAGGCTTTGAACTTTGAAAGAAAATAACAGGTGGTAGAAGTTCGAGATAGAATTTGAGGTTGTTCATCCCATAAGAAACTAACAATATTTATTTGCTTAATTATATATTTTTTATTATAATGCTTTAAGTTTAGTTTCTTATTTAATAAAAACTTAAATTAAGTTAATAAAAGTAACTTTAAAAAAAAAATATATATATATATATATTTCTTTTTATTTTCTGGCTTTAAAGAACATTTCCAAAAAAGTACAATATTTAAAAAGTACATATTAAATTGTCTACTACTTCATTATTGGACTGTAGGACATGATATATGTAATAAAAAATATTAATAACAGGATCAAAATTTTTAATACAGTAACTGTGATTGTGCTTGTGATTTCAATATATGATCGTATCTGCATTTAAGTATTAGCATTTTGATGTATCATAATCTGCTCTTCTCTGCACAGGTGTGCAACTGGTTTATAAACGCCCGGCGACGACTCCTTCCTGAGATGCTCCGGAAAGACGGCAAGGACCCCAACCAGTTCACCATCTCGCGGCGGGGCAGCAAGGGAGGCGAGATGCTCAGCGACAACTCCCAGTCCCCGAAACATGGTCTGCTCGCCAACGGAGAGGACCGCAATAGCTACGAGCCCGGCTCGCCTCACTCGACCACCAACACGCCCACTTCTAACGGTTACCCCAAAAAAGCCCTGTCCCCAAAAACACCCCCCTCGCCCGGACCCGTCTTACCCAGACCCTCCGTCATCTGCCACACCACCATCACCACGGGCACGCAAGGCATCGGCTCGACAACGCGCCTCGGCGTGGAGGGAGCCACAGAGCTGCCTCTCACAGACGTGGCCGGCCTGTTCGGGTGTCGAGGGGAGGGTAACGTCAGCCCCCAGAGCGGCCTGTTCAACACCCCGCCGCCCACCCCGCCCGATCTCACCCAGGACTTCAGCGGCTTCCAGTTGCTGGTTGACGTGGCGCTGAAGAGGGCCGCAGAAATGGAGCTGCAGGCCAAACAGCTCCTCGCCTGAAGACAGAAAACACGGATGGATGAATGAAAAAGCTTCATCGATGTTTGTTTCTTGCCCCCCCCCCCCCCCCCCCCCCCTCCCAAAAAACTTGACTGAGCAACAGAAAGCAAACAAGCATGGCCTGATCATTTCTATTTTTGGTAAATGTAAATCAAATTGATGAGGATTCCTTTATGTAAAGCATTTCAAGGTGCCTTGGCAGTCGGTTCTTTTTTTTGTATTCCATTTCTATGTAAATAAATATGTATCTTTTCATTTTGTACACAGGGGACCAAAACCAAACACAGTAATACGACTTCCTGTCTTTCCTTCTTTACAAGAAGACAAGCTCTTCTCCCATTCCTCATGAGTCTTTCTTTCTCGTTTTCAGAGATTCGGCTCTATGATTGTCGATTTTGCCTCATTTTTAGAGAACACGTCTGATATTCTGCCTCGTTTTTTTGCACAAAATGGCAGGTCATCTCAGTATCTTATCAACTCTAGCTTTCTCTCCAACAGACTCTAATCACTACTGCACCGGGTCATTCTGTGTCTCATAGATGTTCAGTTTTTTGTATTGTTTTTTTTTTTTCGTTGTAAAATTTCAGATGCTGTCGTTAGTATGTTTCTTTTTTCCTTTTGTTACTCTTGAGGGATATTCAGATGTAGCAGAACTATAGTCTGAGGTTTCCTCTGAATACTCAGTGTAGAAACGGCCAGTGAATGTGCCCACATGCTCCCCACACCACCCCTAAACACACACACATGCACACACACACACACACACACACACACACATACACACCTTGGACAAGTGAGCTGGAAGAATGAACACTACATGAATTGTATTAATTTTTTTTATTTCTTTTTTGTTTTGTTTTTGTTTATTACGTTGAGACCACTTTCAGAGGATAAAGGAAAGAATGGTTTTATGTCACCAAATATGTTGATTTCAAGGTTTTGGAACCTTAGACCAGTGCATTTACAGTAGCCAATGTGACATGATGCCCAATGATGTGACTTCTCCTCCTTACTGTGCAATGTATGTGGCAAATAGGGGTCACACGGTGTTTAAATAAAGTTTTGTTTTCTACAAAATTAATTTTCTTTCTTCTGCTTATTTTTAACTACATTGTTCGATAAGTGTTTCTAGTGGGAAAATGGAAAGGTTCTTATAATCAAGGCTGTTTTTTTGTTTGTTTTTTATCATGGGAAAGATTAGCCTTCAGATGACACTTCTTTCCAGTAGTGTTTGAAAAATGAAATAACGTGTAAGGTCAGACAGAAAATGTAGATTGCTTTCATAAAGCGGAAGCCAGCATCCGAACGGTGTGATTTATACCAATCCAACACTGCCCTACCTTGACATCTCGCACATATTAAAGGCATGTTCTTACAGGCTATTGCTAAATCATACTGACATTCTTCTGTGTGTGTAAGCTTCACAAGAACGCCAATTAGCATAATCCTGCATTTAATTAGCGGTAGCTAAAACCAGACGTCAGCGATGGCTTGCCAATGGCGTCTGTGTGAGTGTGCATGTCTGTATCTGAGCACAGACAATAAAGACGGATTAGCGGGGACACGTCTGTCCTGGATATTCAATCACACTCGGTTAGACAGCTGTTCTTTACTTTAGACTTCTCACTGGGCTGAGATTCAAACAAACCACTCAAAGGGTCATTGGTCTAGTTGGCAACAAGCGATCAAAGTGATTAGCAGCTCAAAGCGGTTAATTAACCGAACACCTATATTTAAAAAGACATTAAGTTCTATGATACTAAAGACTTTTTGGATGGAAGGGATGTCTCGCACATATTAGATGAGAGTTGATCTGTTCTTTGGGTTCATCTGTGGAAGAAGAAGCCTGAAGCTGTCCACTAATAAGAGTCAAAGAAGATCTGTTCGCCTACTCAGGCCTCAGGCAATGATTTAAAACTGAAAGCCTGTTTTCAGCTCAGAGTAAAATATATATATAAAAAAGCTAATAGTAATAAAGTTTAAAATAAGCAATTGTGAGATATGAAGTAGGCTACCTGTGAGAAGTAAAGTTACGTAAAATAAAGTCACAATCACGAGTTGCAATTGTGAGCTAGAAAGTCACAAAGACGTAAAGGCGGAATAATAGTGAGAAACTTTTAAATAAGCCAAATTCGTGATGTGTCACACTCACAACTGTGAGAAATAGTCAAAATTGTGCAAAATACAGTTACAATTATGAAATCACAATTAGGCCTACTAGAAATAAAGAAAATATTGAGAAACAACATATATATAGTCTTAATTATGAAGAATAAAATTGCAGCTGTGATATAAAAAAAAGTCTGTCACAAAAGTTAAAAAAAAGTTATATGACGCAATTACTAACTGCCATAATTAAATCAATCAAAAATAAAAAAGTCATAATTGTGAAATGTCACAACATTAAAAAAACAATTATATTGTCACAATTTGGAGAAATAAAAAAAATATTACGAAAAAAATAAAGTTGTGAGATCGCAATTACTAGAATATGAAGACAATTATGAGAAACAATGTCAACTGTGAGATATAAAGTCTCATATACGTAATTGTGAGTTATGTGTGATGCAATAGTGATATCAAGTCACAATTGTGAGAAATCAATTTGCAACTGTGAGATATAAAGTATATAAACAGGCTTCCATGTAAAACAGTCATTTATCTCTATTTACTGGATAGAACAAACAGACACACATTTATTTGAAAATGAATCACTTGATGGCTGTGAGCATCTGTAACATTTTAATGATCAAAATCTCATACACGTGCCATAACATCAACAGTGTTGATACAATAAATACAAAATGTAAGTAGTAAGATATCCTTAGATGTAGGTTACATTTACAATGAAGAACATTCATGTATTTACACACAGTCATTTTGATAAAGTTTATGCTTTTACAAGAACAGTAAATACATAATATCTTGCCTTCATTTCCCAAAATATTGTGGTGAGTGCACCGTCCACAGTTTGGCAATAAAACAAAGTCTGATTTTCTTTTATTTGGGAAGATAAAACCCTAAAAAGTCTGGACTTATTATGTTGCCAGAGATAAATCAATATTTTCACATCAGTGAATGACAGCAGTTAAAAAAAATGAGGTTGTGATCACTTTCAGCAAAAAGTTTAGTGCTAGTCTTCACAAAATATCTCTCTAGTGTCTCATAAATATCTCTTTAAATACTAAAAAGAAGGGAGATTTAATCAAATGAAATGTAACCAATTAATATTTCTATACTTATATTTCAGTATAATCTTACTTATTTCATTTTACAAATAAAATGACATTGATTTTATTTGTGTTAATCACTGATTGTCCAAATTAATTCAGTTTGATATTATTTGGCTGAAAAAATACAGAACTGTAAAAAACAAACAAACAAAAAATATTATTATCAATATGAAAGGGAATTTTGTCGTCAATATTGAATGCTTTAATTGGTAAGGTATAATCTCCAGTATCAGACCTCTTCATGATACACACACACACACACACATACACACACATTATATAGTCTCCCCTGAGGCTACGTTGTGCATGACTATTATATATTCATAAATTAAGGCCGAGCGTTTAAACATCAACAATATTTCAAACAAACATTAACCACAGTAGAAGGGCTCTAGTGCATAATAACGGGAATGAAGAGTTTAGTTAAAAAGACAAATACTACAGGGATCAAACTAAAGCCAATGCAACTGAACTGTCTATGAAAATAGAGAATGGCTGCACATTGGCTGCTGGGAAATGAATATCAATATATATTTATAGTGATGTGTCTATTCACAGTGAAATATTTAGAGAAAAGAAAAAAGAAATAGCTCTGTTTATTTAACATATTTAACAAGTGCAAATTAGTATTTGTTATTGAAAAGTATCAGACAGTGCAGTTAGGATTTGACTAGTATTGAGTAACTTGTCAGTGCAACTATGATGCAGCGCAAATCAATTACAAGAGCAGCACAAGAGTGTGTGAATGATTCAACGGTTAAGAAAAAAGAATGAACTGCTGGTATGTGCTCTGCTTTGATACATGTGTCTACTTGCACTTTCTCCTCAGGGTTGCTGAAATTATATACATCCAAGTATAAATAAAAACAAAAGAAAGTAGCTGATCTATATTACAAAGTCAACTGTGCTACATATCGGTTGAAACAAAACAAAACAACGCCTTTAGGAAAATTAGGAAGCACTTGGGTACATGCACTTGATGTGTAAATAACACAAACACACACATACACACTTGACTGACTTGGTTGAGGATAAAGACTATCATGCTAACTAGTGATTATAAATATAATGAATAAATTGCCTGTCACAGTTGGTGTTTTTACTAAAAAAATGTATGTATTACATTTATAGAGTTGTGGCATTGCAGTTTTAATATTTCAAATGATACTTTTAAGCATTATTGAAATTCAAAAGCTATGGTAAAGAGAGAAATGATTGATGTCCGTTTAAATGCGTTTCGTCTGATCTTAAATATTTCTACAACTCCCCCATTACAAAATACTGATATTTTACTTTATATCCATTTATACAAACATTTAGACAAATATATTGAGGAGCTATATTAGTGAGCAGTCAGGAAGGCGTTTTATAATTCATCATTTATATATTTACAAAATACGCATTTTTTAAAACAACAGGTCCTAATGGGTCGTGATTTGACTATTTGTCTGTCCACGCTGAACGGAACACCGCAGAGCAACGTGACACAATCACGGCTAACCAGATGTTTTAAGTACAGTAATAAAGAGCAGAATGGACCAATGAGATTTCACAGTGGGCGGAGCTATTCAATGCCACAGAATTAGAAAATGTCCTGTCAGTTGTTGTGGTTGTGTAGCCTGGTTAAAACCAGACCATTCTCAGTTGTAACTGAGTTATGGTCTGGCAAAGCGTCATAGACAAATCATTTCCAGAGGGGCGTCACCAACGGACGTCGCGGATAGACCTAAAACCAATCAGAGCGATGAAGGAGATGACGTATGTAGAGCGGCGGAGACACATCTCATAGTGTTGTTCTTTGCTCGGTTTTTAACGAAAAGGAAACGTTCAAATCGCT